TGAAGGCTTTCGGTCATGCATCCGTACCAGATCACGTTTCAACACGGCGTGGAACACAGCTCCTACGTTCCATTAGCCAGCTTATAGAAAAGGTCCTCGATATATTGGTAACGAATCAAATATATCTTTCCTGTCTCTCCTCGTCTGACTTCTGATTTCTATCTGACTGGGAACGATCGAACATAGAAGGTGCTACTGGTAACTAGTTGAAATACTAGAACATCCGTTGCATCCTTCATTGGTGAGCCCGACGTGATCTGGTACACCAAGTCAATATACTGTGAGTCTGTTCCATTTTGAAATATTATTATTCATTGTTATTCTTTATTTGAATTTTATATATTGTGATATACTGTTTTTTCGCGAATTTTTTTCCCGGATATATTTTAATTAGACATTTTTCGTCATCTATATTACTATGAAGGAACACTCTCCTAAGGTTCTTAAGTTTAAGTCTATTCCCCCTATTTCGATTCAGTTAACGCCATTTTGGCCCGACAATATCGAGTCCTGGTTCTGCTATGCAGAAACCGATTTTTGCATGCACGGAATCACGGACTCGCGCACACGTTTCCTCGCGGTAGTTAAGGCGTTACCGCGCGAGTTTAACAGGTACGCAACACCTAGTATGTTTACTAGTGATGTTCCCGAACCTTACGAAACGCTTAAGCTATCGATTTTAAAACGAGGAGACCTAACTGATCGACAACGGTTAGACCAACTCCTTAATAATATCGACTTGCAACATGGTTCTGCGACGGAAATGTTGTTTAGAATGAGAGAAGTCATCGGCCAACGAACTTTCGATGATGGTCTATTTAGACAACTTTTCTTGTCTAAACTCCCTCAACAGGTGCAGGCAGTGCTTGTTTCATTTCAAAACAATGCCATAGATGAACTAGCTGCATCTGCCGATCGAATCTTGGAAATCACCAAATTTTCTAAGGCCGAGGTTTTTTCCACCAAAGCAAAAACCTCAATCGACCCCGTTTGACATAACCGAACTATGTCACACGCTTACAAGATATCTTAGAGTTCGTAATGATCGTAGTCGGTCAAAATCATCACGTAGGAGCGTTTCACGTAAGAGATCAGTCACTCGACCACGAGAGACAGACAACCCCGACTGGTGCTGGTATCACAACCAGTACGGTAAATCCTCTAGAAATTGCAGGAAGCCCTGCAATTACCCGAAGTCTAAGGCGACTGACACGAATAAGATTTTGAGAAACTTCCCAGCCAGCCGCCTCTTATATGTCACCGATGTGACCACGAAAGTTCGCTACCTCGTCGACACTGGCGCAGAAGTTAGCGTTCTTCCAGCAAATCCCGACGACAGACTTCGCGAGTCTGTTTTCAGTTTACAGGCGGCAAACGGAAAGCCGATCGCTACTTACGGTAAAAGGTACGTCTACCTTAACGTGGGTTTACGCAAACCCATACACTGGATTTTGTTGTTGCAGATGTCTCTATGCCAATCATTGGTATCGATCTGTTACAACACCACAATCTACTCATCGACACACGCTCACGAAGGTTAATAGACGGAAATACTAAGTTATATGTTAGCGTAACTCCTTGTTCTGGTTGCAGGTTATCCCCAGTCACGATTAAGCACACCATAGACCCATTGTACCAATCAGTACTCGACAAATACCCCGGGATACAACAATCGCAATCGAAATTGCCTTGTGTAACCAGCAATGTTACACATCACATCACGACTTCAGGACCACCTGTATTTTCGAAAGCCCGAAGACTCGCTCCCGAGAAGCTTAAGTTAGCCAAAAACGAATTCGACCACATGATGGACCTAGGGATAAGTCGACCATCGAATAGTCCATGGTCATCCCCATTGCACATGGTCCCTAAAAAGGACAGCAATGATTGGCGGCCAACTGGTGATTATCGGCGTCTGAATGCAAAATCCATTCCCGATCGTTACCCGTTGCCTCATATTCACGATTTGACAGCTACCTTGAAAGGTACAACTGTCTTTTCAAAAATCGACTTGGTTAAAGCTTATAACCAAATCCTGATGGCACCTGACGACATTCTTAAAACCGCCATCATCACTCCCTTCGGTCTTTACGAATTTCTACGAATGCCTTTTGGTTTAAGAAACGCGGCTCAAACCTTCCAAAGGTTTATAGACGCCGTTTTTCGAGGTTTCAACTTCGTACATGCGCATGTTGATGACTGTCTAATAGCAAGTTCGTACAGAGAATCGCATCTCAAGCATCTGGACGTTGTTTTCGATCGACTCCAAAGGCATGGTATTACTGTCAACATACAGAAATGCCAAATCGGAACAAACTCCTTAGACTTCCTAGGACACACCATTGATGCCCAAGGCATCCGACCCCTTAAGAGCAAAGTGGCGGCCATTCTGGATTACCCTGAACCGACCACGATTAAGCACTTACGAACTTTCAACGGACTTGTAAGTTTCTATAGACGGTTCATACCCAAATGCGCATCCCTTATGAAACCGTTAACGGATCAGCTTCGTAGAAATGCGAAATCAATTAGTTTAGACGACATAGCCCGTAAAGCATTCTCCACAGTTAAGGAACACATCGCTAAAGCAACCTTGCTTGCTCATTCAGGACACTCAAGCGCCCATTAGTATCGCCGTAGACTCATCCGACCCAGCAATCGGAGGAGTCGCCTTGTCTCGAATAAGTTCCTTGAACATTTTCCAAGGAATCGACCTTCTTAAACTCGCTCAGCTTCAGAAAGAAGACATTGATCTTCAGCATGAGTTATCCTCGACCACTCTTAAACTAAGTATTAAGCAGATAGAAACAGGTAAGGAAACCTTAATTTGTGACACATCTACAGGTAGGGATCGTCCAATTGTACCAAAACATTATCGCCGCAACGTCTTCAATACGTTGCACAATCTTTCTCATCCAGGTGCTCGTGCAACTGTCAAACTTATAGCCGAACGCTTTTGTTGGCCTGGCATGAATAAATACGTGAGGGAGTGGGCACGCTCCTGTGTAAGCTGTCAGAAATCTAAGGTAATCAGACACAACAAATGTCCCTTAGGCTCTTTCAAAACCCCTGACGCTCGTTTCGACCACGTCCATCTAGATTTGGTAGGACCCTTACCCGACTCGAATGGATACTCATATCTCTTAACATGCGTAGACCGTTTCACTCGATGGCCAGATTAAGGACATTACTGCTGAAACCGTGGCCCGCGCTTTCGTCGAACGATGGGTAGCGAATTTCGGCTGCCCCTCAACCATCACTACAGACCGCGGACGCCAATTCGAATCTGGACTTTTCCGTTGTCTCACCTCACTTTTAGGAATCACGAAGGACCATTCAAAATTCTTCAACGTGAACCTAAGTACTATGTAGTCGATTAGAACGGCACTAACGATAGCATCAGTATCGATCGCCTCAAAGCAGTGTACCTAGAAGGAAACCCTATCTACGTCGATTTTCCTTCAGAACAATCAAACGATACGGCTCCTACACTTGTAGTACCCACACGACAGTCGACACTCGTTGATACTTCGTCAACGTCGATAGATAAACCTAAAACAACGCGTTCTGGAAGAAGAGTAAGATTTCCAGAACATCTTAACGAATATTGCACGTAGGACATAAGCATTATGTTGAATTACCCTTTCATAGTTTATTAGAAAAATTTTTTTAATATGCTCATTTTTTTATTTATATAAAAAACAAAAAAACCCATTTTTTTCCGATCGCTTTTACGCTGTTTGTAAGTGAATTAGTTTATTTTTTCCCGCTCATCTTGTGTCCCTACGCAAGTACGAGTGTATTTTCGACATGCACTCACATGTTTTATTTTTCCTCTTTTCCAGGACGGCTGGAAAAGAACGACGAAGTTTCGCAAGGAACAGAAATTTTAATTGTACTATATTTCTTTATTGCTATGTTGTACATTTTGGTCCCATAGTTTAAGGAAAGATGACCAGACGCTGCTAAACGAAGCAAGTTATCAGAAGAGTGTTTGCCAACGACAAACTCGTTGGGTTTAAACTTCTGGCTGGTCACGTCTTAGGGGCATCACTACCTCACTAGGGCGGGGGAGTGATCTCTAGCTGTAAATAATTCCCCAAAATCAGTAGCTCATTAAGTGTTCGACATTGGATGCTGGCCACGTTGTTTAAGTGGACTTGTTTAGCTGAAGGCTTTCGGTCATGCATCCGTACCAGATCACGTTTCAACACGGCGTGGGACACAGCTCCTACGTTCCATTAGCCAGCTTATAGAAAAGGTCCTCGATATATTGGTAACGAATCAAATATATCTTTCCTATCTCTCCTCGTCTGACTTCTGATTTCTATCTGACTGGGAACGATCGAACATAGAAGGTGCTACTGGTAACTAGTTGTAAAACTAGAACATCCGTTGCATCCTTCAATAACATAAGCATATTTTCTGGCCCAGGTCAGAGATTCCATTCATGACGATCAAGGATGTATAACGCCTCGTTTTACTGAGAACCACATTTCTGGAATTTCCACCTATATCATTTCGAATGATTTAAATACGATTACTTTTCGCTGATGAAATTCGAAACTTGTTTTATCTTTAGTCTTATATCATCAATAAGGTGAATGAAGAAACGGTTGTGGGGATCAGGTCAATGACTTGACTAAATTACTGTGAGAGTCGGGCAGATAGAAGTAAAAGTTATGAAAGGCTTGTAAATCAACTATATGGACGGTCATATATGTTCAAGCTGGACAGTATTGAATTAACTGCGTAGTCCGCATCTCGTTCACAACGGTAGGTTGGTATATAATCTGGTTCATCCTATCGTGATGGTCAGATGACCATAAAACTGTCCATCTGCCTTAATTACTCTTGACCATGGTTTGAAATAAAGAACGTTCTGCCAATACCGTAAATGGTGACATGAAAGATCAAAGTTTACAAACGTATAGTTATGCAAATTACACATTGTGAATTTCGAAAATGTCATTGCTCGAGGTTTGTTTGTCGAGTCAAACAAATATAAAGTTCATACATTGACTTTTAGCGGTCTTTCAAATCTAATGAAAAAACAGGTTTATTTTATGTTATCGTCGATGTTTATGAGATTTCTGACATGCGATTATTGCCACTGGCTTTAACAAGTCTACAGGTCTACTCCGTGGTATTCGGAAGCTATGAGGAATGTATGTACTTTCAATAACTTTAATCGTACTGTAGATGTAATATTGCCAGACAATTCCGATTACTGCCGAAGTCACTCTGGATTTAGAAGATTTTCACTTTCAAGGCAGATGAGTTTTGTTACTGGATCATATAATTCGTCATGGAACAATTTGTTATATGCTTGTAAGGTTGGTGAGCACGACTTTATTATTTAGCTCTCCTATATATTTGTCAGTTAACTTTCTAATAGAAATAAATTAGGTTGGATGTGAAATCAATCAGGGTTATCATGCTTTATGAAACCCTAATTTTTTCAGACTGGTGGTTCTAATTATGTATATTGCTGAAATATCCTGACTAATGTTAAATTAAGTATATACTCAATCAGTCAGTCAGCTACTACCTAGGACCAGGCACATATATGCATCGGTCCAAGTTACCATACCTCATAAGCACAACAAGATGAATACCGAATTGATAGAAGTAGTTAGTTTGGTGGTGGTAATATGTAAAAGAAAAGTTGTATATAAGGATATAGTACAGGAAGAAAGACATATGAAACAATTTTATTCTCAAGGTTTAAGGGAAGATAAAGAGTGTATACACCTGCACCATCCACTTCCTCTCAGAGATAAAGATTTATTTCGAGCATGTGAATAACAGTAAAATCAGTTTGCATATGGTAACAAATCAAGTTCTTTGCTTAAACTTGTATTTTTTGAAGGTAGTTTTGAGTAATTTTTATTTTGAGAACTTGTGGATAGTAATGGCTTATCAGTGTTGATAATTTAATCATCCTCCTACCCAAAGTTAACTTCGTTATTTACTTTCAGAATCGAGAATTACAAATTATGCGTCAACTGGACCATCCAAATATTGTGCAGTTATATATAGTACAGGAAGAAAGACAGATGTAAAACAATTTTAATCTCAAGATTTAAGGAAAGATAAAGAGTCTATACACCTACGCCATTGTGATCGATTCTGGCCCATGTTACCCAGTCTCCAACCATTGGTTACTATAGTCACGCGGACCCCAACCACGTAGTCTGCATCTACCAACATGGCTTAGACCAGAAGTTAGTGACTTCAATGACTGATGCCACGTTCCGGTTTGACCGCCCTTAACGTTTTTCCAACCATCGCCAATACCAGTCAGCATAACGCGTCGTGGTAATCAGTGTTCAGACATACATAATACGTGGCCCAACCATCTCAGTCGATAAAGATTCATAACCTCATCAACTGATTTACCGTCTTCTCTAACACCCTGCGTCTAACATTACTAACAAATTTAGAGAAATAAAGCATCTTAAACTGACGGAATCGAAGGAGGTTTTTTTACAAAATAATTCTTCCGCTAGAGCATGAAAGTAGAAGATGTACAGGATCAGCTCACTCTTGAGACCACTAGTATATTTTCATCCTTAAGCTGTTTGAACAGTTGAGAAAATGAAGAAAGTCGCAGATTTTGCTTTAAAAATGAATGGACATGCAATATCCATGCCAGTAGATCACAATGTTCACCAATATGTGGCAATATATTTTTATATCCCTTGCATTAATGGGATAGGCACCCCTCATCAATGTATTTCAGACTTCTCGTGACTTTATAAAGTTTTCAGAGCCTTTATAACGGAGAAATCAGCCAAATAATGTTTGCTCGGCCCTAGCATGTGGTTATACATTCAAAATATACTTTCAACTATCACCTATCACTGTTTGCAGTGGTGACAAACCAGAAACCATGTTGTAAGAAGTCCAATGCTAGCCAAAATAAGACGTCTCACCAGTACCCGCAGTTACTAACTGTTAGTCTAAAAGCTGTTTAAAGGCCTCATATCTCAGAGTTCAAAATTGATTGTTAGTAAGACAGCAGGATTCGTTATACTTCCTTCAAATCTTAAATCTCATTATTGTGTCATCGGTATTTCACTATTTCGCCTGTTATTTTAAAAGTTTGTCTTTCCTGTTAATGTTCTTTGCACTTATTGATGATACGTTGTCAGCTATTTTGGTTTTTCCCCTTTTATTCTTCTTTAGATATTTTCTTGAGTCATATCTTTGATGCTTAGCACTAATACTGCTATTACCTCAATCAGTTTTTGCTGGATATACTTTGATAGTTTTCTTAAGACAAATGATCACCGCGAAATTTCTCCACTAAGCTTTAGTTATTTCAACACTGAATACAACTTACTTTATTGAACCATACTATAAAATCCATGTTCTTATATTTGCCGAAGTAAATAAAGTTGATTTGGTAGAGTTTTGGTTTAATTCTGGGAATAAAATATCCATCTTTATAATTTCCTGTGTTAGTTTATGAAAATAACAGACTAGATAGACTGTGTAAGTTGACCTCATTTTTACCCTTGGAAAGTTAACAGTGAAAGTGTAACAAATGCCTGGCAAAAACCATTTTCCTTACATATGCAAGGTATATTAAGATCCTAATTGTAGATGTTTTATGTATCACGTTTTTTCATAATAAACGTGGTGTTTTGCTTGCTTTCTTTATGTTTAATTTACGATTTATTTTTCAATTACAAAAACCAGGTAAAGGTGTATCCAAATGGGAGACTTTTACATTATTCTTATCCTGAAGGACATACGTCATACTGGTTTCATAGACTTCGAATTTCCATTAATTTTACCTCTTGCAATGATTTTTTGACTATTGGGTTTATACCCGAAGAAATCACTCAACCTACATTACTTCCATATGTAAGTACTTGAATAGAATGTTTTACTTTTTTTTCTCGTAGCATGTTTTTGGGTCTGATTGTGATTGACTGAGTTTGTTTGAAATTTATCTAATAGTGATATTGGTCAAGTAAAATGAATAATATACTATTTTACCAAAAGATTTCCACCTTTAGGGTAATGGGTTTCTCTTAAGAAACTAGTGAACGGTTTTTAACTTTTACTTCTACTTTTATAACTATCCAAGTTTACTCAGAATTGTACATCTGTATATTTGAAAAAGATTTCGACAAAATGTCAGGATTTAGGATGTAGACAACACTTTTAGATGTTATCGATTGACTTTTATTCATTCGTTGAGTTGTGGATTGTGAAGAGTACTTTAATCCAAAGATTTGAGTCGTATATGGTGGTGATAAAAATCTTCCTTTAATATTGATCACAGACCATGCTTTATTTGTGCTTTTGGTTGTCTGCTGGTTGTGGGAAATTGTATAGAATTCGCCTGGTATATTATATGTTCAACATATATTCGACTTTGTTTTCTATGTCTTTGACGAATAATATGTAGACATAACTTACATTAGCTCATAAGCATTTGTACTTTGTCGATAATATTTATAAGTTATACCTCTTTTATATAATTTATTTTTAAGAATTTCAGTATAACAGAGTTACAGTCTATCTCATTTTTCAGAAAATTGTTTTCGTGTGTTTTAAATCTTTTTTCTTTATAACCTTTACATTACTCAACATATAAGCATCCAACCGTTTGAAATTTTGAAGAGTTTGCCAATGTTTATTAAGCCTTTAGTAATTTTTGTTAATATAATAGAAAGTATATAAACCACTAGTAATGAATTATTAATATTGCCAATAAGTCGTAAGCAGTTAAAGATAGTCCTCAAAATAAATGAATTCATATTATTCAGCTATAAATATCGTTCCTATCTGATTTAAAAATTCAGATTATCATAAACTTTACGGGCATGAAATAATTAATGGAAGATAAAAAATCATAATTTTCTGGATAACATTAATCCCATTTAACATCTAACCTCAAGGTACAAACGTATGTGAATGCCAGGAGTTCAGTTTACAAAACGTTTTCAAACCATATTTTAAACTTACTGAAGCGGAGATTTGCAGAGATAAAATGCTTGTCTATCGACCTGCTGACTACTAGTCAAATACTATTATTGCACTTTGAATTTAAAACCTAAAAGTATTCTATCTTAATAAAATAATTTGTCTTCACTAGATATAAATACAAAATACACCTTACGGCTCCTGTGGTCTTAATGACAAGCATTTAATCAAGTAAAATTATATTTTAGCAATTTAAATTTCAAATAAATCTTTGAAGAAAGTAGTGTAGAGTGTCGAACAAATAGTTATCTATATAATACTAGGTATTTGTGTATCAAAATGAAATTCAAGTTAGTTATAGCTACAAAATTCTATACTAATTTGTTGTTTACTCAGAATAAAGTTTCGCTGCTGATGTCTTAAGCTAGTTCTCTGTTATAATTAACTAAATCTGAAGAATAAAACGTCTAATAGTTTGTAGTTTGTTGATAAATACAAGAGTGGGTATGACGTGGCTTGATACCAATAGCGAGTGTATTATCGTAGATCACAGTGAGTTTGTCATTTTAGCTATCAATTAAGAAACTTCCAATGACGTAAAATAAATTGTTCTTACATATCTAAGCTTAAACAGGAAATAACAGATGAGAATGGAGCTGTTTATATTAGATAAAATTTAAGCGATCAGCATAATAACAGCCTGGATGAATGCGGGTATAATGTATACAACCGGATATTTTTAAACTCAGTATCATTTTGATCTACCGTAAATAATAAAACTCAGAAGGAACATTTGACACCAAAATTTATAACTCTTCGTTCATGAAATGTCCATCGATAACTAGCAATACTGTCTAATGGAAACAAACTAATTAAAAAGCAATCCAGGTCTTATTGATATAAATAGAGCTTAACTTTTGGATTGCTTTCAGCAAACAGACGTGAAAATTGTTTCAGACTGAACAAAGAACATTCAATCTAAAGAGAGTTTTGTCGAACGAAACAAAACTTTTCGCTAAGCAAAAATGTTTGGTATATTTGAAATCTTCATAGAATGTTTATTGTGAGTAAATTTCCTTATGATTTATTACAATGTACCTTGAAATGTACCGAAAAATAACTATAATATAAATCATTGGTGATGTTTAGTAACAGTAATTTTTAAAATATATTCCTTGATCGTTTGTTATTAACGCTCGATCGAATTTCTGAAGCGGTTTGATGTAGATCTTTTTAAGTTTATCTTAATGCGATAATGTGATTTGATGGCCTATCACAATTTTATGTTTTAGATTTTTTAAAATGGATAACTGACTAAGAGTGATAAGTATTTATATTTAGCAATAAATAGTTATGCAAAAAGTAATGTTTCAGTAGATATCCAGTGCCTGGTTCAAACTTCAGTATTTATGATAATCCAAGCCAACTGGAAGTAAGTGGTATATAATTAGCTTACTTTTCTTGTACTACAGTATGGATTTTGCTGTTGATACAAGGTTTCCCTCTACTCAACTGATCTATTTCATCTCCATCCACTTTCATCTTCGTAAAAACTTTGTACTTCATTTGACAATGTATCATGTTTTTTCTCTGACTACAGTCGACTAACGGTGTACAAAGTATCGGGTACAATATATCATGAACTCATTATCAGTGATATGATCTATGGAAACAAATCTCCGGAATATATGAATATCTATACATAGTAAATAAACGGTGAAAAATAATGAGTTATGAGATTACTCATTTTTGTGATTATTACTAGACGAAATACAGTAAATTTTTACAGAAATTTACACTTTTCTCACAAATTATTTTCAATAAACCTCAGCATCTTGTTAAGTTCTCATCGCTGTACGAACGAATTAGTGATTCAATTATATTCAACATCTCAATTCTTAGGAAGAAAATAATTTTTGTCCCTACTATAAACAGCGTATATCTGTTGAAATATTTGTTCCAATTTTATTACTTCCTGACATTTACGTTTTGGATTTTTAATTTTGTTGTATCAAAGTATAATGAGTGACTAAACAGGAATATAATATTCAGCGAACTATGAAAAATGTGTCTCATTATAGTATTCTTAGCACACTGAATTACTAGTTTTTTATTTTCTACACAAAAATATAAAATTGTAATTTACACTGACCTTTTGAACAGAGATAATCGACAAGGATAATAAAGTAATTCCACAAACCTGTTTATAGTGGGACTGAAAGATATTATGACTAACAAATTGATAGAAAAGATTTGTAATTCGGGTAGATGTTTGTTTTAAAAGTTAACATATTTTAATCATAGTGTGTACAATTCTATATTCCAGCTGAATGAATGGCTAGATTTTTCCTGAAAACCTATTCTTGGTAGCAAAGTATACAATAAGAAAATTAATGTACTAATCAATAATCAGTTGTATTTTAAGTACGGTTTTCAAGAAGCTTCAAATGTGTCACCTCACTATTAACAATGAAGTACTAGGAAGTGTGTTCGAAAAGTGAATTGTGTCCTTATCATTTGACAAAGAAATGGATTTTAGTGTTTGCAAATCCAACCCAATGAGGGAGTTTTATGTAGTTTTCACAAGAGTTTGACAATGTCTGTTAATTTTTAGATATCCTACTAAGAAATAGTAGTATGCTAAAAGTTAGTCATTACAGGGATCGTTTAATCAGGCCAAAATGACTACAATAAGCCTGTTCAGAAGAATATAAAAACAAATGCATGGGTAATTTTTTGGATCATCTTCACAACGTATCACTGAGTGAAATTCAATGTTTCGAGATTGTAGAGCACCTAAAAAAATTTCACGGTTCACAATTTGGCTGCTTTAAAGTCTCAATAAGATCAACCAGCCCTCTGTTATGCAAGTCTTTTCCCAAAACTACCTCGGAAAAGGATGATGGAATTTTTCATCTCGTACAAGAATACTAGTCAGTTGTACAACCTATAGCGTACATCATTTCTCAAATAGGTACAAATGAGGAATAGTTGAAATGCACTTTTATATTGGTTGTTTGAATTCTTTCATTGGTGTTTAGCGCTGCAATTGACCAGTCGCTTATTAGCATGTGTGGATCCTGTGCGAATCGCCTCGATATCGCCCTAAGTCACCAGCATTATAAGCAGCAATGATGGTGGTTGGCAGTAGAAACCAGGTGTGCAATGGGCTACAAGCTAGTGGCCTTTTGGATTCAGTAGCTAAGTGGATAACGCGATGGCCTTTGAAGTGAACGGTACTGAGTTCAAGTCCTCGAGTGAACAGTGACTGGGATGCAGGTACATTCAGCTGACAAGTCCCAACTAAGACGACACGCACCTCCTGGATTCCACTGCTAGCCACCGTCAACTCTGTTAACAGTTGAAATGGTTTCAATTAAAAAAGTTTTTAAGATTTTGAATTAAGTATATTCCAACAACCTATGGAATTTATGTAGTCTTAGTATTTAGGTTAAATGAAGATTCCTAACTAAATTGTGAGATATCTTTTTTTTTTTCTAATCACGCGAAAAACAGTGCAACTCTAATCTAAATCTATTGACAGTAGTCAATAAAAACATAAAATTGGTCATGAAGAACCTAGAAATGGTTAATTATGATCATAATCATTAGGAAAGTTTTGCATTTAACTGATAGGTTTGATTGTGGTTGGACATAATAAGTAGCAGGTTCCCAATAATCTTTCCAAGATAACAGACTTTGTTAAAGTTATCAACTTTCATTTGGTATGTACGAACGTCCCAAAAAGTATAAAATAGTAACTAATTATTAATAAATTTGAATTAGTTCTCTTTCCTTCCAACGAGTATTACAGACTATTTTATGCACTTATTCACTTGCATAAATTTAAACTTTAGTTGTAAATGACTTAATGAACTGGATCAATCCCTTTTTTTATCGATTGCTTTATCAAAGGAGTTAAATCTAACCTGTGCAATTATATTTCCGCAAATCATCGATTCAAAGCATCGTATTGTGTCATTGGTTTGGCATACAGAGTCCGGTTCAATTGAGAATGTGAAATCTAAACTAGATGTTCAAATGTCAGCATATATGCGATTTGAAGGAACTTTCAGTCTTATTGACAGTAAGTAATAAATCTAATCTGTATGGGACTTTTAATGGTGGTTATTGCCCCTATTCCTGACTTCGTTTCTTGAATTTCTTGATGATGATGTCATTCATTTAAAAGCCCACTAGTATCTGGACAAGAGGTGGCTATATAGATTTTTATGAAACTATTATTTCAGTCTATCTAAAGCGTCAATAATATGACCATTGTAAAGAGCGAGAGACAGAGATCAGAAATGCTTGGTAATTATCTTGATAAGCATGTTTTTTATGCCGTCATTATACTATTTTCCACTTCCTTAAATATAATTTCAAACCAGTCTTAATGATAACGAATTGCTCCAGAGGCACAAATAGAAAACGTTTCATAATGTAATTAAAGAGTGAAACCATACAATAAAAAAAAGTATGCTTTAGCGGTTTATGCTAAACGCAGTGCTTTAATTATATTACTTCACAGTAGAAAGTTTCAAGTCTTTACCTTTTTGTTTGCACTGCTACCCTAACGAGTTAACTTATTATTTTTATGGAAGGTGGTGCCAAGGAATATTCACTTACAAGAAAAAAATGTAAAAGCTAAGAGTTCTTTTGTGGCTTCGTCCTATAATAACTGAACTCATACTTTCAGTATCTTTCTGATGTTTCTGAAGAAATACAACGGTGTTTATCAAATTACCTAAGCCGGATAAGTGTGATAATTTTTTAATGATGGTGGAAGGAAGCTAAACTTATCAGCAAAATAAATTTTGTGAAATGTTAAAATATCTAAATTTCTAATAATTCGCAATTAGTATTTCGGAAAAAATAGATTGTTATTAATACTTCGAAATTTGGGGTTTATGTACTGGACAGAAAGTTTTTGCTTTTCTGAACTGTGTTAATTGATTTCAAAAATTCAAAAGCATCAAAATCATTCTTGCACGAAGCACATTTTTGAAATGATTACTTAGTGGCCCTGTCAACTTACACTTTTAAAGAAGTACAGTTATATTACTTATGAATATATGAATGTTTTAGATATTTAACATTCTAAACATATAAGCTTCTGAATCAAAACTTCTTCAAAGTTCGCTGTATGAACGTAGGAGAAAAGAAAAATTTATGAAATGATTTGGCTTTCTGGTTTTGAAACAAATGTATTATAAAGTCTTCGTTTTTATTTGCCCGCCATCGTAGTCAGATCTCAGGATTTTCCAAAAATAAACAGATAAACAAGCTTTTGATTGTCTCCTTTAAATTTCTAATTTCGTTGCAGACTACTACTACTCAATTTTGAATTGATTGCTGAGGATTTCACTTATTCATGTCGACTACATACATTGATTAGTAATGAAGTAGTAACTAATGTCATGTTTGTTTAGTCCTTAGTATTAGTCAAATTCAAATGAAGCTATCACTTTGAATAAAATTAGCATCGCGCACACTATTTTGAAAGCCGGTGATCTGAAGTAGTTGACAGGAAAACTTGGCCCTATGCTTCCTGCTAATTAACATTCATCAGGAAGGCCTACATGCAATCTTGAGAGAAGTTACTCTATACCGTGATATATCAATCTTAATACAGTAATCTTACAAGAGACCAAATGTGGTATGAATCGTCCATTATTAACGTCTTGAACTGTGAAGCTGTATGATTTGGGTTCGAATCCCGCCAGGAGCATCCAGTTCCTTCAAGATTTCAGGTATCTTGATGACGAGTGCCAGCGAGCATGAAACATAGATCCACAGTATCTCTCCTACTATTCGTAGCTGCGTGAAATCACGACAACTACATTTAAATTTGTAGAAATATTACTCATATATAAGTTGCCATTCATAAATATATTTAAGTGATTACAGGCGTGCATCAGTTAGTATCAAGTTGAATTAGAATTACTGAATACTAAATGTTAATCTAAATTTAGCTGCATTGTATAAATCGTATGAAATGTTATTTTAAAGATATTCATTTTTTTTCTACACTTGTTTAGTATCGGTACTGCTACATTTAACGTTTTGGAAAGTGCTTTTTTCAAGTAGCAACAATTGATATTTTATAACGTTTTATGTTCTGAAATGATATGTACTAATATTGTAGTAATGAAAATTTGTATTTTGGGATAAAGAAGAAAATTGTTTGCTGCTGTTTGAGCACTAATCGTAATTTGAATGTTTCATACGATTTTTTCCATTTAAAAATTTGACTAAAGAAGAACAGTTAATGTAGTAGAATAACATGAATTCAATATATTTCTCAGGTTCCCATCATCTGCTTACAACCTAAACGTAATAGTATTAATCTTTAATGGTCACTGTACATACTTTATATCATAATATCGTAAGTGTTCTCATCAATGAAGATTAATGAAAAGAGAATCAAGTACGAAATAACGATAAGAGATTTTCATATGTTAATTAATGTTAATATTTATAGGTTTAATATAAGAGTATTCTAGCATAAGCAGCTAAAGACATAGAAACACAATTATACAGAAATAATTCATTGTTATGATCACGTAACCCTTAAAATAAAACTAACTGAGTACAGACCAGATAAGAAGCGATAATGAATAGTTAATGTTATGAAAAGAGGAAATGCATAACAAACATTTGTGAATGAGTTCACAAAGGCAAGACAATATTGACAACTGTATATTTCTGGATATTTTAATTTGATTTAAGTCTTCCGATGGTAATCACTTCGGTAAACCGTGGTAAATTTGATGTTCTTTGTCCATTAATTGTCTTGAAGAACTTTAAGACATCAACATCACGGCCATTCTGAACCTAGTTAATTAGCGTTGCGCACACATGTATAAGAAAGAAGCTATATAATTAAAATAAATTATTTCCTACTTCCGTAATATTATATTCTTAGAAATGCGTCGATGTGAAGTAGGCTCTGGATTTTGGTGTGGAAATCAAACTGCTGTTTGCGTTTATGGTCAAATGCGCTGTGATCAAGCAGATGGTTGCTTTGATGGGGGAACTGATGAAATTGGTTGTCCTCCTGTCCGTAATTATACATATGGTACGTTTATGATTCTTGTTTTTATAATTTACGAAAATTTCTTTTTCACATTGGTATATTACTGTAAACTGGAGAACAATCTACTTTTTCTATTGAACGATTATTGAAACTAGAAACGAATAGTTTATACCGCTAAACAAATGTTTTCTAAGTTGTAATTTAGTTAAATACATTAGAAAAAACGTAAATGGGTTTAAAAAGTCATTTTAATAAATTTATTTTTATTTTTAACAACTCAATATAGAATACTTGTAGCGCGTGATTAAAATTATCCACGTGTATATTGAAATAGAGTTCAGGTAACCACTAGTGTTTTATTTTTGACCAAGCTGTAGAAGAATGCTGTTATATCCCGATAAGAATAATGAATGGTAACTTTTGGAATCCATTTATGGACCAATACTATGCGTATATTCTATCGTATAATTGTTCAATAACTAAACTATTCATATTCATGTCCCTATTATTATGAGCTTTATTTTGACCCATAAACTATTATTATACGATTTACCGTTCCTGAGTTATGCCATGTCTATCAATTACTACCTCCCTTATTCACAGCCAAATTTGGCTAAATCTTGTACAAATATTGTTTATTATTTTATGGTACGATGTGGTCTGTCTTATTGGTATATAAATCCAGAATGTTTGAGAATAATGATTCATACCACAGAGGCTGTTATTGGTGTTCTGGAATTAACTGGCTGGGCTAGGCAGAAAGCAGGACCGATATGTACTCTTGATTGCTCTAACGGGTTTTATGTGTCATTGGTCCGATAGATAAATCACTGCTCTCTAATTGGCGGCAACAAGTTATAACAAATGCATCTGGCTGTGTGATCTTCAAAACGCTATAAATTAATTGATATGCAATTCAGAAGTACGTAGGATAATACTTTTAAAATGATACATAATTAAATAATTTTAACTCCCTATGAAGTATTAACTTTGATAGATGCTTCTTTTAGTAGGATCCTTTTGGGAATTGGAGATTACCTACTGTATTCATTATAACCTGCATGCTTTTAATAAATAATAAAAACCAAACAATAATGATATTCCTTCTCCAAGCGTCAAAATAGTCCAATCATGTACAAGCGTGAACATCACTGAAATACATTTAAATGTTGCTAACCACATTCCATATATTCTGATTAGAAGTAACTGATTATATTGCCTAAATTGTTCCATACGTTGATTATTTACACAAATTAATTTCAATTTTTTTATTCTATTTAGAATTGAATTTGTTTATTTTTCAGTTCAACCAAGACGTTCTTTGAACAGTTGGTCAGTATATCTACCGTGGACGGGTAAGTGAATATTTTAATAATGCGAATTCTTTAGTGTAGTTTTAAAATAAATGAAGTGAAATTTCAAAATTTACTCTTCTTTGTGTGCCCGTAAAATAAATAATTATATTTAACAAAACTAAATATCTTTACTGATGATCTAACTTCAAGAAATGTAGTTTGGTTATTAGGTAAAAACAAGACGGGAATATAATTAGATTCATGTAGATTGCTTCTTAGTAGTCATCATGCAAATTCCCAGATCTTGACTTCATATTTACAAGTATTCATCATTAAGATATACGTGAGAATTCATGATGAACCACAGCTTCACTCAAACTGAACTCTACTAGTACCTCAGATGACAAATGTAATAGTTGAATTCAAATCACTGAAACAAGGTTATATGAAGAAATTATTTGTTAAGCACTTACATGACAATTGAAAAATATACGAAAATGTTATTATAAAATAACCCATAGACCTATAATTCTTTTAAATATTAAAAACCGAAATTCAGAGAAGCAATCTTTTTTCAACTCATTCATGATCAAGCTGTGCAACCATATATATATATATAGGATTAATTCTCTAAAGAAATATGAACAAATGATTACGTACGACGGTGCAGTGTCAAGATTTCTATAGTAGGTTATATGATATAAATAATAATAAAAGGTCATGTAACCGTTATGGGATGTGTACAAATAAAGCTTAGATATTAATAAGCTGATATTAGATCACTGGGCGAAGAGAGTAAGGTAAAATCTTTTTCTTTTGACAATAATCAAAGGCATTAGAGAGATTAATATTAGAAATTATAAATAAAATCATGCGGATTATGAGGAATAATTAAGGGTGAAACATTTTCGAGCGTAAAATCAATGAAATTTAGATAAAATAGAACATAATGAGTTATGACCACTAACAAATGTGTATAATAAATAAGATTTATTCTGTAAATGCTGTTATAAATGATCAATCCTTTAGAGAACATTTGAATTATTTTTTTCTGGTTAGCGTTTTTTAGCGAGTTAGCTTTTCTACGGGATGGGGTCGCTAACCCCATGCCCAACCCTCCTCCTTTACCCGGGCTTGGGACCGGCAGTAACTCTAGAAGAGCTACAGGCGGAGTTTTTAAAGAACATAGTTTATAATAATAATATTAAAATCATGAAAACTAGAGAAATAAAACATTTAAACATAATTATTTGTGTGGTACTTAACCATAAAGGAAAATAGCAGATAAGAAAACTAGCAGGAAATTAATTACCATTAGTTTTTCTTCACCTACTAGTTTGATATTAATAGTTTATACAATTTTTCAAAATAGCAGTTTCTGAAAAATACTTTCATTTCTCTGTATTTTTCTTACTTTCATCTATAAAGTTTATAAAGAAATATTTCAATTTCAATTAATTATGTATTATATGATCATTTTAGACTGAATCTAAACAAATGATTTTCTGGAGAGTAAAATAAGATTGCTTGGTGATATGATGAAGTTTTTATTATAACAGAAGTATGCAATTCACTGAGATTTATCAGTATTCTTGATGATATACTTCATTGTATTTAAGCATAGTTAATATACTCACTTCATAGTCTATAAATATATGACAACCTGTAGTTAAATAGTTTTAAATCAGAAGACTGTTGATATACAAATAACTATTGCGACAAACAATATGTAATAACGTTAAGACAAAAATTATTCGTATTTCGACTAATGTCTAGAAGAAAAGCTTAAAATGCATTTGTTTTAGGAAATTTTACTAAACAAAATGCTCCAATATACCAATGAGGATGAACTTTTACATACATGTCATTTGTTTCAACTGAGTCTGACTTCATTAAAAAAGAACTTTGATGTTAATTTTGTAATTTGCATCTATCGGATATAGTTTTAATGTTTATATATTATCATACTAGCCAAGACTCCTGAAGACACTCGACTATATTCTATTAGGTAAGAACAACTAAATAGTTCTAGATTGAAATTAAGTAACAACTATCAACTATTACACTAATTTGTTAGTTTCTCGTAAAATATATCTTCAAATCAACCTACTTTGTAAATAATAAATTCAAACTTTACCGTTATTCTGGACTAATTGCCCAAAAATATTGAAGACTTCCAAACTATTTTCACTTAAAATTCATTTGAATTTTTGGTCCTGCATTTAAAAAGGTTCTATTCAAATCAAACTATTTGGTCTCATTCGACAGTAAATTAGTAACTTTATTGAATTTTCTTATATTTCTATGATATATATATATATATATATACGTTCGTTTATTTCTCTTCATTTAATTTATGCTAAAATCAATGAAAAGGAAATACTATTGTTTCCTCTTTTTAATGTCTTACTTTTTTATAATATAAATATTATTTATTGAGTTGTATTATAATACAACAGTATAACATTAACCTTCATTTATTCATTTGACCTTTTCTCGTAGACCTATACCGAATTCTTTATTATTATTATTATTTTCTTTTATTATTCAATCATGAAGTATTTTTATTACCCTATAAATAACAATATACTTATCTGTTAATAATCTCAAGAAAATAGTGAAATTAACCTGTTTTGCATATTTTCTCTCTCGTATTTTTCTTTTCATTACTAAAACTATTGTGTTTTACTGATATATTGTAAGGACTATGTTATTTTTTGTGTGATCCACAGTATTTTTAAAAAACAAAGAAAATTCATGAAATGCAACGTACTAAAATCTAAAGGATTCCGAAAAGAGTATCTTTTTTTGATAAAAATTAAAATTTCAGTCTGTTTTCACATCAGAGTGTTATCTTTCCCAAACAACTGAAATACATATAATCATAATTGAATTTAAACTTCACCCCGTTGCACAAGCAAGTGGCTATCAGGACTCAGTAGTTGAGTGGATAACGCGATGGCGTTTGGAGCGAAAGGTACTGGGTTCGAGTCCAAGAGTGAACATCAACTCTGAGATGCAGGCTCGTCCAGCTGACGAGTTCCAAATAGGACGAAACGCGAGTCCTGGGTTCCATTGCTAGCCACTATCCATCTTTGTTTACATATCATAAATCTTCACGATTTCTCTTAAAGTTTATCGTTTGCACATGATTAAAAGGAATGTATTAACAAATAAGAAGAAAATTGGATCCAAATTAAAAGTATTGTTACGTCTTGTAAGTTGAACGCTATATTCAGATCCTAAGCTATTCTGATAACCCCAGACTAGAACTATTCAGCGACTTGAACACCAGTAAGAAGACGCGAGTATGAGAGAAACACTTTACTGCAAGGTTCATTTATGTACAGAAAATACAGGGATTTTATAGTTATTAAGAGACAGTGTGTTAATCAGCCAATCTGGATCTCGTTATTTTAGTAACATAGCTTCTAATTAATCGCTGATTGGTTGAGGCTCTTTATCAGCCTCTGGAGGCTCTGTTAGAGTTCTCTGGAAGCCGACTTAACAGGATAATGAAGTGAATATGACAGAATATAAAAGTTGTACAATCTACATGTTTCAGGAGTAGTTTATATATGGCAAATGTAACCGTTTAAGAGGCTAAGTAGAAGCCAACAAATACATTTTCAAAAAATTAAAAATGTTTTCTTTTTCACTAGTAAAGTCAATATTTAAATGAAGTCATCTACTGTCATACAACTGTTTTCATTTTGATTTAACATTCTTTGATAATAGTAGTTTGTCTAATAATTGTGCAAAACATATATATGTACATTGATAAACATAGTTTTGATTTAATCAGCATAACCTCTAACGTGATGCAAAACTATTTCCACTGAAAGCAACCACCCCCTAATTATTATTTGCATTCCCGTAAACATAAACGGTCACACTGTTATATGCAAAATAATATTATCTCTAGTACACAATTCAACTCTTTTTTAGCTAATATTACTAGTTACGACGATACATATATTTCACAAAGCAGTTTGTGATATGCTTAGAATAGATGTGATGTAGCTAACAGTAAAATCGAGAATGTGCATTTCGTTCTATTTTGATCTTATCTGAGATGTGGGTACATCCAGCTGATGAGTCCCAAGCAAGACAAATCAGACGCCCTGGAATCCACTACTAGCAACATTTCTTCTATTCTATAACAACTTGTGTTGTTATATCAAAATAATCCTCACAGATTGCGCAAATACCAACCAAGATTGACTGAATTCCAGTAAAAAATAACAATGCAATAAATCTTGGATCTTCCAAATTTCCGTCTACCTTCAGAATTCATAGTTAGTGCTTGTCTCGTGATGCCGTTTGATGATTTCCTCACTGTAGGTCCCATCCACATCCAACGTCATTTCCTAATTTCCCATTCATCTGAAAGCTGATATGTTCTTTTCCACAATAAGCCATTGCTGATGGCATCCAGTCAACGGGTATTCAGTACCTTGTGTAAACAATTGTTTATCAACACTTGTACCTTTTTAATGATGGCTGTGGTAGTTCTTCAAGTTTCAGATCCATACAGTAGAACTGTCTTGACGTTCGTATTGAAGATTCTGACTTTGATATTGACTGATAGTTGTTTTGAGTTCTACATGTTCTTCAAATGCAGGAATGTTGCTCTAGCTCAGCCAATCCTTGCCTTCACATCTGTATCAGATCCTCCTTGTTCATAGATAGTGCTTCACAGATGTATGAAATTTCCAACTCTTCCAGAGTTTCTACATCAAGTGTGATTGGGTTGGTGTTCTCCGTGTTGTAGTAGAGGATGTTGTTTTTTCCCTTGTGTATGTTGAGACCTACTGATGCAGAGGCTACTGCTGCTACACTGGTTGTCTTCATCTGCATTTGTTAGTGTGTATGAGATAGAAGAGCCAGATCATCTGTGAAGTCCAAATCATTTAGCTGCATTCAAACTGCCGATTGTATTCTGTACTTCGCTCGAGATATGGATGTGTTTATAAATCTTTCTTCATAAACTGGAAGAAAGAGAAAGATGGGAGTAAACAACCTTGACTGACACCGGTCTTCACTCAAAATAGATATGTGAGCTGTCCTCCATTAGGGACTTTTTAATTTAGTCTGTCGTAAGAGTTTAGTACAACGGTGGTTATCTTTACAGGTACTTTATATTGTGAATAAATTAACCATTAGGTTAGTTTATCCTAAACGCTTTCTCTAATTCTTTCTTATATACAAGGAAGCTGATATACAGTAATGCGTTCCTTTCGATTGATTGTTCAACAAGGATCTGTGGTGTGGCATTTTTCCAGTACATAATCTATCCCTATGAAAGCTGGCTTGTTGATGTCGAAGTTGTGAGTATACTGAATCTTTCTTTCAGTCCAACAATACTGTTGAAAACTTTTTATTGTATTGACTGTATTGCGATGCCTCTGTAGTTTTCATACTTGCTGAGATGTCCTTACTTTTTCTAACTTCACAAAGTATCCTTCTTTCCAGTTTGCCAGTACTTTTTCTTCCTCGTAAATCTTTCTTAAAAGAACGTGGAGCGTCATTGCAGATATTTATAAGTGCTGTGTCCCCCCGTTCTACTGTTCCTAACCTTTAGTGATTGGTTTGCTTTCTTCGTTCTTGATTGTTCGCTCTGATTTATTATATTTTCCAGCTAGCTTTCTTCTTAATCAAAACTAGCTGTTTTTACTGTAATTAACAATAAATAAATTTGTGCACTCCTCATCATTTTTACTGTGTCGGATTCTTCCAAAATGTTTACACACGAAAACATGTTGAGACGGATAACGATTTTGTAATATTTGGTTAAAATTAACATAAAGTCGATAGTTAGTAAAAAGTGAACGGAATGTATCTATTGAGACATAAAATAAGAAAAATTGTTTCAGCAAAGAGATCTCTTTTCTGCGAATTCATTTTCAAAGCTGTACTATATGTATCATGAAATGGTTTATCCGAAAATAAATTGGCGTTTCTTGCTTAAATTTCAATCAGTAGATTTATTTCTTTATACAGTGAAAGATCTGGAAAAAAAATACAATATTTTGGAACGAATGTACATAGTTTAATGGTGATGAAGATTTCATAATAATGTTTTATTTTACCTTATGAAATCTACTTATAATTTTGTAAATAATTTCTTTTAATATTCTTTTTACCAGCCCTAGGATTAATTCCTTTGATATTAATATTTGCTTTGGGACTTATCTGTGCACCTCGAAAATCTCTAGATGAACTTGATGATGAAGATCTTAGTCAAGAAGGTGAATGTTTAAAAACTATTTTCTCACCGATGACTTCTTCATCAGCCGCTTCACCTACTTTATCTGAATCAAGTTCACCTAGATCTATTCAATCTTTTGCTGCTTGTTCAACTGGAGATAAAGCTATTGTTTGTGCGTCCGAATTAACCCGGTCATTATCTCATCCAAGTTTATCTGATGTGGTACGCACAACACTTGTTACTAACGAAAGTGACAAACAAAAATCTTGTCTTCTTAGCTCAAACGTTAATACCAAACAAGATGCTGATTCATTTTGTCTTCAACAGAAAAGTAAAAAGTATTATCCCGAAAGTTGTGAACATCTTTTAAATAATGATAATAGTATTAATAATCATGATAAACGAAATTTTACAGAAGATGGTTCAGGTTCCAAATTTTTTAATGAAGTTCTTAAACCAACTAAATCTAGAGCTGTTACTTTTCAACTACCTGGAGCATTTGAAGAAAAACCAGTTATAGGTAATTAACTTTCATTTCTTTATTTACTTTGGTATTATTTTTGAAAATGATTTTTCACATTGTTCTATGACTACTTATCATATGTAATTTGTTTATGTTATTTATGTTATGTCACTAGTTGTTTTTACTAATTTTATAAACTGGAAAATTTTTAAAAAATAATGGTACCATCTCGTTGATGTCATGATATGAATATTCAATAAACTGACTTAACATTTTTACAAATTTACATTTCGCTGTGTATTTATTTGAGATTCAAATATATCTACCTTTTTTTAGTTATTTTTATTAAACTACTATTCCAAAAAGATTAAAGTAAATACCAAAAGTGTACGTTCCTTACTGGTTAGAAATATTATTATTATTATTATTAAGTATGAAGGTTAGACAATATTCAACGGTTTCATTCCAAATTAAAAATAATCACAAGATTTTTCGGATGAGAAACTGTAGTTATTACAAGAAATTTGTCAATCGAATTTCATTCTGTTTTAAGATTTATGTTTTGATTTGTAATAAAACCAAATGAAAAATAATTTAGGTGACATTTTAAGGTTTTTTTTAAAACACATGAATATATTTAATATAATGCAGTTTCTCACTGTAACTGTCGGTGAAATAAGAAAGTCATGACATCTCTTTGTCTTAGGTAAGAGATTAATTTCAAGAAGGGAGCTGGGTGATATTTTATACAAAAAATTCCAATATGCAGCGTTTTCTTTTAACGCTAAGAGAACAAATTTTTGGGTAGACTACACGTAACTGTCAGCAAATATTGATTTGGAGACTTGTGTGTTTACTTTTACACTACTTATGGGTAATGAAACTTCATTGATGAAAAAAATACTTTTATTTCACGGTTATACTCTTATTGTCAACTAATTAAAGCTAGATCATATAATTCGGAAATTGTGTATTATAGCTTCATCCATTATTGTTGTTTTGCTTTCCTTACTGTACGACAAACACTAGTTTACCGAATCACTTTATGATCAAGTCCTATTCAATTAATGGATTCTGGAATAAAGGAACAATTAATCGTTTAGTTAGCATTAAACTTAGGAAGTTTGCATACGTACATATTTTAAGGTATATGACTTAAATTAGTTTAATGAAACATTCCAGCTTTCACATTTATACAGGAGTTTAGTGTTTTTGCTATCTCAAGGACAAGCAGCATACATCATGAAGGATTACTGAGGTGCATAAGAAAAGGATTCTTCAAGTAACCTTGAGTTTGATGTTAATTTATTTTACCATTTTGTTAGAATTGACGAAGCAAATAGATCTACCATTTTTTTAATAATAAAAACCTAGTATCATGATAAACATTTCATAATTTCGAATTGATTTTTAACATTAAGACATTTAACTGAAAGTCGACTGTTTAAACTTTGATATCACTGAAAATTAACTCTATTTTAAATTATTAATTTAAGCGAATGATGGGACTTCTACTAATTTAGCGGACATTTTGACGAGTTATTATTACTTGGATCCTATAATTTTTAAAATCAGCAGAAACAATTCAGTGTAAAGAACCTAAGTTTACTGATCTATACAATTATTTAGTTGAGTAATATTCTTACTGACAACAATAAATCTGTCGAGTCAATCATTATTCCCTGATAAAATAACATAGCTATATGCAACCACTATATGTCATCCAAACTCGTTTCAGTTGATTTCGAAGTTTAATGCTAGGATGTGGTAATAATCGATCAAACATAGTAACTTATAAAAAATATTTATACTAATAGTGGTAATGTAAATAATATAGGTATCAATACCAAGGTTGGACTTGATAGTTTCAAATAAATTGATCGTTAGGTAAAGAGGTGATAATAAGTATACTCGAAAATCAAAACATTCGATGTAACATCTTATCAGACGATGAATTCATCATGGAATCAATATTTGAAGAAATTGACAATAATAGTAAATTGTTTTTTAAAAGAAAATTCTTGACATGACTATAAGTTATAATTTTTATTAGGTTGTAATATTAAGTAACTATCCAAAAGTTTTTCCGAATTGTTCTCTATACTTCTTTGATAAATATAATTCATAAATCTATCAACCTTTTTATAGTGATTATCTTATAAATATATTGCATAGTGATGAGCTATTCTGTTCGTCAACAATTCATGTCAAAGTTAGTGTGTAGTGTGGCATCTTAGTTCACTACAAGTGTATTCTAAATTGTATTCACTATTTTAATTTTTGGGTGAATTTCTCATTCAACAGTTTTATAATATTTATGTACTAATTAAATTGACCAGTTAGTTACGTATTATATAAATTTACTAAAATGTTTCTTTGATCTTTGACCTACTATTGGTACTTGAAATGTTAAACCAAGGCACTAATATATATTTTCCCTATTTTTAGTCTTAATGAGTAAGCTAATAATTGGTTACATAACTCATACCAAATTCTATGTTTCATTAAAACTCCATTCCCAAGATTTATTTTAAAAGGTGGAAAAGGTCGAAAAATAAATTCTGCAATAGTATTTTCCTGGGTACCAACATGTTTGATCCACAGAATATACTCCGCTTGACACAAACAATTAAATCAAAAAAGGAAATGAAAGGGCTGCATAACATTAATAATAGTAGCTACCTTGAATTGACCTTCAGTCTTTATCGAATAGCTCTCGGTAGTTGAAAAATGATAGATGACTTGATTAATCAGTCCAAAAATAACTCGTTTATACTGTGCCGAAATTGAATCGATTTTATTATGTATAACTCTTGAAAGTAATAAATTTCACTATCTGATTTGCAAACTTTAATTCTCACATACATCTGCTTTCTAATTTTTACTTATATCTCTTTTAAAAATCTATTATCTACAGATTCAGAATCAAAAATAAAAACAAATAAAATTCATGAGGAATCATTGCATCAACAAAAAGCACAACAAAATTCCAGTAATATTTCACGTCAATCAAAATCCATTAAATCTGATAATCGAGCAATACCAGCATGTTTTGAAATGGCTGCTTTAAAAGTTAGAGTATCACGTAATGAATTAGGTAATGAAATTATGTCGCCTTAATTTTTATTGTAAACTGTTAAATATACAATTGTTCAATTGTAGTAAATGTAATATGCATCTATAAAGTATATAGATTATTGCTTGAATATAGTTTCTGTGGTAAATGAATGTTATTTAAGAAGTTAATTCTTGTGCTTAACATACCATTGGTACAGAATCATATTTGTACATTAAAAATGAATATCAAGATAACTTACCATTCTTTGACGGTTTTTCGTGTATCATTGCTCTGATCGATAATTCACTCTTCTCTGGTTGGCGGGGTTCATTCACCTCATATATCAATCAGGGCACGTACGCACTTACTCGATATAACATTTAGGTCAGAATTGTATCGAAAATGCTGTTGAACGGCCTATGCTCCTTCACGAGGGCTAACAGATGTAAGTAACTGTCCTCTAACCAGGAATGGAATCATGAATTTTACGTTCTCCCAAAGTAATTATACTTGTTCTTTAACATAATTTACAAGTGTTCAAACGACAATTTACTCTAGTTAGTTTTTTTCTAGAATATAAACGATTCACTTCCTTACTTGATTGTTATGGCAGTTTTTGTTTATTCCGTTCTATTTTAATCCAAACAAGTGATTTAAAACTATTGACTATGCTAATTTTCATATTGTAGACTATTTTCTTCTCACTCTCATGAGTAGATTAGAAATCAGTTTACTTTATATTTCTTCCAATGATTTAACTAATACATTATTTTGTTTATTTTTGTTTTTGACTTCAACTATGATATTTTACTGAATGTGATTGGATTTTTGTTTTCTGGATTAAATCATCTACAGGAAATGTAACTAATCACAATTTTAATCCTGATTTTATTGATCAAGAAATTCGGTATGTGAATTCTTTAGTTTTAAAAAAATGAATCACATTTGTTTGTTTTTATAATTAACAATTATAAATTTTAAAAACACTTTTCATATAAGGTAATTACAATTTGTAAGATCGCAAATAGCGATTATTTGTTTGTGGGGCTAAAATTATAACTAACTATAAAACAACTTCACACATTGACATCACGTTACCATTAAATTCACATCTGTCTGTCAACTTGATTAAGAGAATACAAAGTAATAAATTCAGGAACGTTAGTTATCCCACTTATTAATTTTACGTAAGATTTCTACTGGCTATGGAAAATGACCCATTTATTCACTGATTTAGATTATTATTGATACTATTATACTTTGTGTCTATCCATCATAGAAAAGAACTGTACTTAAAGTGTGATGAATACATAAATATAAATATATGTTATTACCAGATCTTAATCAGTTGGAATCAAGTTATATTGGGATATATTAACATATCATACTGTTCTCCATCCTGGTGAAATGAATTGTTTCATGGCTTTGTGATGAAGTAATCTATGCATCATTGCCAGTTGACTAGATATCCTTTTTGCACAATTGAGAAAATATAAGTGACTCCTTAAACCTTACAGGAGAAATTTTATGTTCTAAAATGATTAATCCTTATGGTATATGTTACACGTACATGGTCGGCTAATTTTATTGACTGGGGTTAAATTCGACTTGATTTATTAATTTCTTTCTTCAGTTTAAATCAAGTTAAATCAATCAATGTTAAAACCGGTGAAAACTCCTTAGTTTCTCTTTAAGCATTAATAAATTGTAGCTGAATAGATAAATTTATTATGATTGTAGTTGTATACTCTTAGTTTAAAGTTATTTAAATAGATATCAAACTTTTATGAAATATATGGTGTCTTAAATTGTAAAAACCTATCATTCATCCAGGTGGTACGAATAAAAAGAGTTAAGTATGAAAATCAAGTTTACTTGTTTTCTGATTATTCAGTGGTGACTTATGGAGTTAGTTTTCATTATCAAAATCAACATTACTAATTTTCCTCTCCCTTTGGTAAATTCGATAAAATTTAGAGTTGTTAGAAATTTCTAACAAAAACAGTACCTAATTTCGGCTCATCTTTGCCTTCCATGGAATTCTTCTTGGTCGGCGGCCTATACTCCACTAGGGGTAACATGCGTTAGTAATTACTAAGTAATAGAAGTATATTTGTAAAATATGTGCAAAATACCTTTCTTACCTTACTCATTTAGTCATCGATATGTAATTTACTATGGTTTGACTAACGCTGTCAGAACAATGTAGTATCTTTTAATACTTATCACAATAATTTAACGTGTTTACTTATTATATCTTGTTCTCATTTCTCTGCTAGGAACTCAAATGCATTTACACTTAAACAACCATACAAAAACTATCATTCACGCTCAAACTCTCAATCACAAACTGATAATTCGAAAAATATTGTAGAAAATACAAACAACAACGATTTCAGTGAGTAATGTTTTTGTGTCTATTCAATATCACATTAAATCTTTTTCTACGTTTTATTTAAAAAAAAAAGAAAATTATACGATTGTTTAATTTTGGTTGAGATAATGAATAGATCAATGCAAGACTACCATTTAAAATCTGAAAGCACTGGATAGCCGTTTCGTCCTAGTGTGGGACTCCTTGGAGGTCACGCAATATCGCGGACTGGTTAAAGTTAGACGTTAACATAGCTGGATGCCAGCTCAGTGGTCTGGAGGTTAATTGTTAATCATCTGGTATATATCAGTTGTTAGATAAGAAACATCAAATCCTCAAAAACATAGACTTTTGAGTTGATTACTGATATCTTTAGACAGATCAACATAGAAGAATGGTGAAATTTTTGACGCTAAGCATTAGTTTTATGTATACAGATTCATTTACTGTAAAAAAAGAATGCTGAATAGACAGATTCATTGTTGTTAGTTAAAATATTCTCAAGAAAGACGAGCAAATATTTTTTCAATGTTTTTATAGTGTCTTCTTTTTATCAACCATATGTAGGCCTTAAATTAAACTAGAAATAATCCTGTATTATAAAGTAAAGTGATATTTTGTAATAAAGATGAATCGCTCGTCAATTTATCCTTTCTGTGATATTGTATAGTTGTTGATAGTTGTATAGAATTCTAGTTGATCTTAAAATCGCAGCACTTTTAAATGAAGTTGAGATTAAAGAAAGACATTTTGTTTATCTCTTTCAGTTAACTTCTCTGGTAAAAGAAATTTTTCAATCATTACATTGTTTCTTTATCTTTGAACTTTGATTAATCTTTATGTGAAGTAATCAGTCTCACTAACAATAACCCACTTATTAGGTCTGTAATCTAAATTACTGAAACAAATCGAGGTGGAAGATTAAGATGGAAAAAGCGGTTGACGATTTCTTTGAGCTAACATGAATAAAATGACAAGTTTGTATTACTCTGTTATACAAAAGAGTATTGAGTATTCTTCTTAAGTCTAAATGTGTAGTTGTATATTTTAATGAAACTGTTTCACCACAGGAATCTGATAACACAAATACGTAGCCAAATACAAATCACACACTACTTTATTCTTATTTAACAGTCCATTTATGTCATTAATCCTCAGACGGAAAACGTGTCTCAAAGCTAAAGTACATGTTACCAAAACGATGTTTATGCCAATTACTGAATGTATAATGCTTATAATATAATCATATGTCATTTTTTATTATGAATGTGACATGGTTATTATTTTTATTCAGATCATCAGAAGAATTATTATTTCAACCGCAATTCGATCTTTAATTTAGAATAGATAGTTTGGTTTTATTGTATTTAATAATCGTTCTTCATTGTTTAACAGATCAATCTCAGTCAAGTTCATCTGAAAGTGATCGAGAAGATGTTACACCTTTCAGACGAACAGATCATTCTATTCTGACTGATCATTGGGATAAAAACAATAATAATCCAAGATTAAATGGTGTACAGATTCAAAATGAAAATGAAGGTAGGTTCTGATTCCCTTTATTTAAATTCAATCCTACTTTATTCAACATTCTATTTTGTTTTGCTTTTGTTGATATTCTTTTGTTAAACACTGATATTGGAACGAAGAATATTCTTTTTATTAAATCATCTTCAGCTTCTACAATTCTATATCCAAATTAATAGTCTTTTTAATTTATTTGAAGGTTTGTAAAAATTGTTTATTTTGAAGCTAGTATTCATAAGATGATGTAGCATGAATTAGAGAATCATTGGTTATCAAGAAGCGCTGAAAAGATGTTTTTACTTTAGTTTGAGACACTAAAAATAAACACTGATGGAAAGTAAAACTAACACGTCAATACATTTTGACTTAGTCGATAAACTTTTATTAATGTTTTATTCGTGGAAGATGATTGAAATAAACTGTGAATACTTCTCATGTTGTAGTTTCTGAGTGTGTCAAATAAAGTTCATTGAATTATCGATTGGTCAGTCAATGCTGATTAACAAAAGGTAAAACTACAGCAACTAATCAATTCTACACAAATAAAATCATTGACCGGACACCTTGTTATTAATGACTGTGACTTTAATGGTGAATAACGTAATTTTGATTTTGAGGAGAAGCATAAGTAAAGCTTAAACATGTCAGTTATAAGTTGTTTATCCATCAAAGGTAATGGAAAAACGGTCACGCAATACTATCAGATGCTGCATCAGTGGTCTGAAGGTTAATATGTCATAATGATCCTTGAAGGTCTTGTGTGCGATCCTTAATAAAGGTCATGGATCCGCATCACTGAGAAACCTCATACTGGGATGAAACAGCTGTCAAGTGCAGTAGCAATGTGAAGTATAAGCGTTGGGTTTCGAATATATTATGATAATGACTACATGTAAGTATGAGATAAAAATCAGTCAGGGCTTTATGTCACATATATTATTGCTGATTTTCTTCGTCACTCACCTATTGGTATTGTTTGAGCACGCAGTTGTTTGAAGTAACAAAAATATCCACATTTACTTGTTCAATTAGTCCATAGTATGAACCTGAAGAAATAAGTCGGAACCCTCTTCATCCATGAAATTAGGAATACAAACTGAATACTATTTGAGTTATTGACATGACAGTAAGACACATTCTATATGTTCGTCTTAGTAGTGAACGTGTTTGTACGTTAGTATTCAGTCATCACTTTCCCAGGTATTTATTTAAATACTTGAATCTTTATTCATGAATTGTGTTTCATATGTGACAAAATTTGCATGTTATTTATGAGAAAGTGAGTTGTCTAACTAAAGAATGTGGTCTAAGCGATTTTTGTAAAATCCATTCTATTCAAATCGTAAATATTATTTAAAGTCAATGAAGGTAATGTAGTAATAAAAACGATAAATTTATTCACTGTTATATAGCAAAGGCATTGTCAAATCGCATGCAATCCCAACTTTTCATCTTTGATTCTCATATCAGATAAGTATTATGAATATGGATAATATAGGTTAGACTATAGTAAATATCGGTTATGGTTAAGCCCTTTTATTAACTTACTTAACAGACAATGTTATTTGAACAGTAACCATTCACATATTTCTTTGTACTGTCATGATAACTAGAGCACATGACAGACTCTAGCTAAAATGCTGATCGTCTAAACATCACTCGATGATTCATCCTCCTCCCCATGTATATATGTACTGCCTCCTTATGCAATTTGACTATAGATTCGCCTATGTATTTGCTCTTAATTACTTATTCGCCCCTTTGCATCAAAATCGTTTAATCTGCTTATAAATTTGTGGTTTGCGCTATCCGATAATAAGCTGTGATTGCCGCTTCTCTTTGCCTTCTGATTTCAAACACTGTTGAGAATTATATTATAATGGTTATCGAGGTAAACGATTAGTGAAGCAAAGCCACTACAAGACATTTGTTTATCTTGTTACCTAATTCTTTTCTGTTACAATGTATTACAGTCATTTAAAATTTCTATCACAATTAATTTGGAGATTATTTTTAATTAGGATAGATTTGGACTATGTTTATCTATTTATTCTTTTCCAAATGCTGTTCATGTTTCACTAAAGATTGATTGATAAATTAATAAAATCTTTATCATGACAATATCAAAAATTCACCTGATCCTATCTAATAAATAATATAGATAGTATTATTAACAACTAGAAAAACATTGAATGAGTTACAAAAGTTTTATTGAGTATGTCACCTCTTGTATTTTTCTGTATTTTAACATCACTATACGTTATAAACATTTCACAAAGACAAATAAGTACATTTTATGGTCAATATATAGTTTTAAGAAGTCAAGATTAAAATGTATTGCACTATTAACACAATTAAGCATTCTTACTTACTTACTTACTTACTTACGCCTGTTACTCCCAATGGAGCATAGGCCGCCGACCAGCTTTCTCCAACCCACTCTGTCCTGGGCTTCCTTTTCTAGTTCTATCCAGTTCTTGTTCATTCTTCTCATGTCTGTCTCTATTTCTCGGCGTAATGTGTTCTTTGGTCTTCCTCTTCTCCGTTGACCTTCAGGATTCCATGTGAGGGCTTGTCTTGTGACGCAATTAGCTGATTTCCTCAAGGTGTGCCCAATCCACTTCCAGCGCTTCTTCCTCCGCTAAAATCTGGTTTGTTCTCTCCCACAGTAACTTATTGCTGATAGTGTCTGGCCATCGGATCCGAAGTATTTTGCGTAGACAGCTGTTGATGAACACTTGTATCTTCTGGATAATGGCTTTCGTAGTTCTCCACGTCTCCGCCCCATACAATAGAACTGTCTTGACATTTGTATTGGAAATTCTAACCTTGGTGTTGGTTGACAATTGTTTTGAGCTCCAGATGCTTTTCAGTTGTAGGTATGCTGCTCTTGCTTTGCCGATCCGCGCCCTCACATCTGCATCTTATCCACCGTGTTCATCAATGATGCTGCCCAAGATATGTAAAGGTTTCCACATCCTTCAAAGCTTCTCCGTCAAGTGTAATTTGATTGGTGCATATTGTATTGTATCGAAGAGTCTTGCTTTTCTCTTTGTTTATATTGAGACCTACTGCTACTGAGGCTGCTGCTACACTGGTCGTTTTCTCCTGCATTTGTTGTTGCGTTTGTGATAGAAGAGCCAGATCATCCGCGAATTCTAGATCGTCAAGTTGCATCCTGCCTGTCCACTGTATCCCGTGCTTTCCTCCAAATGTTGACGTCTTCATGATCCAGTCGATCACCAGGAGAAAGAGAAAGGGTGAGAGTAAGCAACCTTGCCTCACACCGGTCTTTACTTGAAACGAGTCGGTGAGTTGTCCTCCGTGGACGATTTGGCAGTTTAGTCCATCATAGGAGTTCCGTATGATATTGACTATCTTCTCAGGCACGCCGTAGTGTCGAAGTAGCTTCCATAGTGTCGTCCTGTCCACGCTATCAAATGCCTTCTCGTAGTCGATGGAGTTGATGTAGAGTGATGAATTCCATTCGATTGATTGTTCCACAATGATCCGCAGAGTTGCGATTTGATCTGTGCATGATCTATCCTTACGAAATCCAGCTTGTTGATCTCGAAGTTGGGCGTCCACGGAATCCTTCATCCTGTTTAACAATACTCGGTTGAAGACTTTTCCTGGTATTGAGAGAAGAGTGATGCCCCTGTAGTTGTCGCACTTGCTGAGATCGCCTTTCTTTGGTATCTTGATCAGAAGTCCTTTTTTCCAGTCTGTTGGTACTTGTTCTTCGTCCCAAATCTTACTGAAGAGGATGTGGAGTATCTTGGCAGTTGCTGTTACATTTGCTTTCAGTGCCTCTGCGGGGATGTTGTCTGGTCCCGCTGCTTTGCCACTCTTTACTTGTCTAATGGTCATGCTGATCTCTTCAATTGTTGGTGGGCCAATATCGATTGGGAGGTCCATGGGTGCTGCTTTGATGTTGGGTGGGTTCAGTGGAGCTGGTCGATTCAAGAGTTCTTTGAAGTGTTCTACCCACCTGTTTCGTTGTTCTTCAATGTCGGTGATTACTTTACCTTCCTTGCTTTTCACTGGTCTTTCTGGCTTACAGTAATTTCCAGCAAGTTTCTTTGTTGTATCATACAATTGTCTCATGTTTCCTTCTCTTGCAGCCTTTTCCGCTGTCGTTGCTAAATCTTCCACATATTTACGTTTGTCGGTTCTGATGTTCCTCTTCACTTGCTTGTTTGCCTCTGTGTATTCGGCTTGTGCCTTGGCTTTTTCCGCTCTGGTTCGGCTGATATTGATTGCTGCCTTCTTGTTCCTCCTTGCTTCAATCTTATCCAGTGTACCAACAGTGATCCATTCCTTGTGATGGTGCTTCTTTTGGTCCAGAACCTCTTGACACGTTGAAACGATTGCCTCCTTGATACCTTTTCAGTTGCTTTCCATGGTAGTCCCGTCTCCATTGAGTAGGTCATGAAAGACCTCGAACCTGTTGCTGAGGCCTATGTTGAATTTGTTGAGTTTGTCAGCATCTCGAAGAAAGGCCGTATTAAACTTTTGTGATGTTGTCCGCGCCGTTGTCCACTGCTTCTTGAGTTTTAGTTTCATCTTGGCGACCAGCAAATGATGATCGGATGCTATATCAGCTCCTCTTCTGGTTCTCACATCCTCCATCGTTCTCCTGAACTTTTTGTTGATGCAGATATGGTCGATTTGATTCTGTGTAGTGTGATCCGGTGAAATTCAGGTGGCTTTGTGTATGTTTTTGTGTGAGAATATGGTGCCACCTATGACCAGTTTATTGAAGGCACATAGGTTTGCAAATCTCTCATCATTTTCGTTCCTTCCTCCCAGTCCATGTTGTCCCATGACGTCTTCGTATCCAGTGTTGTCCATTCCAACCTTAGCATTGAGATCTCCCATCAGAATTGTCAGGTCCTTGGTTGGGCACTTCTCGACGATCGACTGCTGCCTATCGTAGAATTGGTCTTTAGCGTCTTCATCGTAGTCATTGGTAGGCGCATAGCATTGGATGACGTTCATTGTAATGCCCTCTCTCTTTGTTCTGAAGGAAGCTTTGATGATCCTTGGTCCATGAGATTCCCATCCTATAAGTGCATTTTGTGCTTTTCTGGACAGCATCAATGCAACTCCTTGTGTATGTGGGGCATTTTCTTCTTCATGACCGGAGTATAACAGAAATTCCCCTGAAGACAGTCGTTGTTGTCCAACCTGTGTCCAATGTGTTTCACTGATCCCAAGAACCTCCAGGTTGTATTTTCTCATTTCTGCAGCAATTTGGAAAACTCTTCCGGTCTCCCACATTGTTCGGACATTCCATGTACCTATAAAAATTGTCGCTCTGGTTGTAAGAAGGTGCATCGGTCTCATGACTTCCGAAGGAACTCGGCTTTCATCATGAGACGTCATAATTATTCCTTCTACTCCCAGGGCAGAGTTTGAAAAGTTTGAATGATTTTTTCTGATTAGCGTTTTTTTAGCGAGTTGATTTTCTACGGGATAGGGTCGCTAACCCCATGCCCAACCCTCCTCCTTTACCCGGGTTTGGGACCGGCAGTAACCCTCGGAGGAGCAACAGGCGGAGTTAATTAAGCATTCAGTTAATCAAATACATAAGTAGTAATAAGTAAATATAATCTGAAGGTTTAACCTATTTTGAATGCTCACTTTATCGATTTATCAAAAGAATACTTGAATATGGTGAATCATTTAGTGTAACGATAGATTAGAATTTCACTTCATTAATTTAAACAGATGTGATATAGAGACTGCTAGTTAACACTACTGAAACTGTGACTTAATGTTGATTTCGTAAGCCTCTAATTGGGTACTGATTTTCACAAGTAAAATTAAAAAATTTGCAATTGTCAGATGACAAGCAGTAGTATATTCAAATCAAAATTGATCAGTTAACGTAAGTCTAAGAATGTTAGCTAAAATTAGATTGATGAATTCACACTGTAAATAGCATATAATGTATAATTTGTTAAGACTATTGTAATCGATTGTTTAATTTTAGACATGTGGTTGATTATCAAATGACTGCCGATAAAAATGAGTGACTACGCTAAGGTACGAAGCTAAATGAGGCTGAGGCTGCTGCTACACTAAGCTAAATGACAGATATTGAAAATCAAACATTTCAGATTAATCAAACAACTTTAAAAGATTAGGAATAGATCCTTGTAAATTCTGTTAGATGTGGAAATATCTTCTATCAACGCATATTATCTACAGAAAACCAGGTGACACTGGACAACTGTTTCGCCCTAGATTGGAATTCCATGGAAGTGAACTACAGTGACCTCTGACAATGTGATGGACTATAGGTCTGAAAATTTGAGATCAGACTTCCTATGGAAGCATAGTATTGAAGAGTTCTTCCCAAATATAAAATGAAACAGATGTTTATTGCTCCTTATTATACATTATTTCTTGAAATGTTGTTTATTTGTGATAAAAAAATTACCTTAGGAAAATTTAATGTTAATGTTTCACGTTAAAATCTATAGAAGATTCTTTTATTAACTATATTAAGATTAAATATTCTAGTCTTATCAATTTTTGGCTGAGTTAATGTTCATTCTGCAATAAGATGTTACATGATGGACCTATATTATATGTATATCACAAGTTCTTGCAACAGACTGACCACAGTTACAAACTAACTTTATTTACGAGATAGCGACAGTGGTTTTTGATGAAGACTAACCTAAATGAAAAAAACTTCAATAACTTATAACGTCAAGGGTTTTAGTTAAAGTTTGAGTCTGGTGTATAATTTTTTTGGATTAATTATTTGTGACATTAATTGATAACGATACTTTATTTTCCAATTCTAATATTTTGTAATACTGCACTTAGATACAGAAATGTGTGCACTTGCTTTATATGAGTCAAAACTGTATATTCAATTGCATTACGGACTAACATCAGAGCACAATAAGGGAAGTCTACATAACAATAGATAGGTGTATAATGGTGATTCGGAACTTCTCAGGAGGAATAACTTTCCAATGCTTTATGGTTTCCTAATAGATATCGATTCCATTAAAATCGTGAACCTATCTAAGTTAGAACACCATTCAAATCATGTGGGATAGTGAATTCGCACTGATGAGAAGTCTCATAGTATTACGAAACATTCATCTAATACTATTCAAATAATGTAGTCAGAACAAAAAATACACTTTATTGGCCAAAACATTCATTAAAATGAAAAGTCACTACCTAGGACCAATAATTTACAGATATTCCCCGATAGTTAACAAGGTATACCTATAAATCTGATAAATGAATAGAATGGTTCTTGAATATTGGGAAGAATTGTTGTCTGCTGACATGGATAAGATGTTATGTATGTATAACTAATTTCCCTTTAAATGCAAGCTAATCAGTGATGATTATTCTTCATTTGATTGAAATCATGAACCGATTGATATTAAATCACCATTGAAAACCTCGAAGCACTGAAAGGCCGTTTCATCTTATTGTTGGACTCCTCAGAGTTCTAGTGGGAAGTCGTGACCAGTGGCGCAAATCCGTGTCAGGTAGAGATAGGTATCTACTTCAGTACAATGAAAGATTGTCGCGCAATTTTGTGACTTGGTTGAGGTTAGACATTAACACCGTTGGACGCCGGCTCAGTGTTCTAGAGGTCAAGCGTTCGCGCGAGACCGAAGGCCCTGAGTTCAAATCCCGCGAACGGGATCATGGATGCTCACTTCCGAGTAATCCCACAATACGACAAAACGGCTGTCCAGTGCTTCCAGGTTTTCAATGGTGGTCTAATTTCAATCGCTTCGTGATCTCAATCAAAATCATAATAATCTCGCAAACCGCATACTGATATTCTTCTTTTTACAAAACAACACAACATTGACAACTAGGATACAATACAATGAAAACGTTTTGTGATCTACAAACATATGGATTATCATTGTCATCATCTCAAAAGAATAAGCATAAAACCTCTTCAATTATTGTAACAGCGAAAAACCCATTGACTTCAGGTGAAAAACGACATAGTAATGCTGATTATATATTGCTTTAAAATGAAATCATTGTAAATAATATTGTACGATAAGAGAATCAATAATTAATTCGTGAACTTTTAATTCCCGATTTTATGTTGTTATGATGCTTTAACTTGAATTTTTTCATTGTTCTACATTATCATCCTACTTTAGTGGATTCTGTTTATATTTCTACTTTTTTTTCTATGACAAACATTTTGTTTATATTAAGTATTTATGTAAAATTTGATATTAGGTGAAAAAGACTGTCTACAGGTGAACTCATCATGACAAACTGTTAAAAAAAATTTATTATGTAACATTGTTACTTTTCAGTACTTTGTGTGTATGCTTCGATTGAGCTTGAATTCTTGTCACGCTTTCTTAAAATGTTAATTTTCATACATTGATCATTTGCATCCTACTGGAATTATTTTTCAGATTTTTAATAAGTGAGAGAACTAAAGAAGTGTTTTTATCTAATTTTCAGCACACGGTGAGAATATTGTGAGAGGTCACAACTCGCATAATAGACTCGTACATTATTTACTGAGAATGAAGCAATTTAGAGATTATTTTTGTTGAAAAATGACATAACCTATAAGACGATTGAAAATGGGGAGGGGTGAAGGGCTGCTTGAACACTATTTTGGGGTTCGCGACTACGAACTTCCACAACATCATATAGGGCCGAGCTCAAGGTCTAACCTTGGAACTGTTCACTTAGTTGTACTACATGAGTATTGCTTCGGAAATACATATAATCATATACTTACTTTGAAAATGTTGATGTCTTTTACCTTCATTGGCCAAGTATCATGTCCATGGAAGAAGATAGATAGAATGAACTAATGCACAGTATGCTGGTTACTTCATTGACAGACGTACGTCACAAATAACGTGGGCTGGCGAAAGCCGATAGAATCTCCTGAAACCGTGCCTAGATTTCGTCAGCCACTCAACTCAGCAGGTTAGTTAAAATTAGGATACGTGAAGTGGTCGGCTCGATTACAGTTCTCTGTAAAATCTAGATGTTGGATGAACTCTTTCATAGTTCATTACTTAATTCTTACCTATATACATCTTCGAGCTGAATCCCAAGGAGTCATTTTGTTGAGACTTGTCCACGTCCAATAAAACTGATGTTTTCACTGCAGCAAAGTTGGAGTCTATTCGCTCCAAAAAGAATGTTAGTCCTCTGTCGAACCTCTCCAACAATAACTTGTGTTAAGCTAAGTTGTTTCTAAAACATCACTATTAGGGGGTGAAAAACATACCTAATAGTCAGGTCAGTTTCGTATAATCGTACTGAAACATACGAAAGTAAGACTAGGGATAGGTGCTTAATTATGTATATGAAAAAGCGAAATAAGCCTATTCTAAACATTGTTATTTGTACAACTTATTTATTTTATTTGACTACATAAATAAACACAATTGTAAGGGCTAATGATACTGGCCGGGTGCCCAGAGCGAAGCAGGTGGTTTTCTTTGGGGGCCACACCCCGAGCCTTTGACCTAAAGGTCTGATCTACAAGGCAATGTAGCATCGTAAGGAGATGCAATCACATGGTAGCCAGTGACCAATAATTGGTTCATATGCCACTTGTTCCTTCAGGATCCTGGAGCCCATGTGCACCATTGGTTTGGAATCAGGGTTTCCCAACTTCCATAGGTGGACTGTGTCCACCGGCCCGGTTAAAGAGCCGGACATATGTTTTTCGTCCTCTCTATTTCGAAAACAGTACCCCTGCAGTGAGTAGGATTTTCCTGGCAGAGGCTGTATAGGCGTGGCTGTGTGAGAACATTTCGAGAGGGAGGGCCCTTTCCACTCTCGGCCGTACGAGGACATTTGCACAACTAAGGCAAAAAAACAAGAGAAATTTCTACTAACATAATCTTTTATTTATGCAAGATTGCAGTTTTCCGCGTATGATTACCTAAGAATTATTTTCTTTGTGATATCCAAGGAAAATATTTACGTCTAGAGTATGGTTCACTGCTTGATTGATAATCAAAGAATCTTAAAACTCTATCGAAGTGATCCCGGAACGCAAGGTCGATAGTCAAATCATGGTATCTGCAGTTTATTGAACGTTACGACGGTACATGAACATTGAGTACTAAATCAGACTTCCTGAATATCCTTGAAATGTGAATTATCCAAACCCATAAATATTCATATTACCAGAAAATATAAACAGTGAGTACACATTGAACTCTAGATGTTAAGAGAAGTACGAAATTCAATTCCATTCACAGACGACTGTTCGAGGAATCCTTACTGGTTTCGAAACGTTTATACACATTAAGGTCTGTACTACAATGAACCGTGCATACACATCAAACGACAATCCCTTATATGTTCGACTTTGATTTTTTTAATCCCTAACGAGTTTCATATAATACAAATCCATATTTCTCATTGGGCTAACGTCAGGAAACTAAGATTAATGATTTACACGAAGCATTTTTGGAGTTTTATTCTCTGAGCTGGATGGTTAGGGATGGAGAATAGGTGAGCAAAGTGGAAGAAAAATGGTACACCTATTACACGACCAAACCATCCAGTTCAGAGAACAAAACTCCATCAAAACCATGCACCTGAGCTACAAATCTTCCCCACCATTACACGAAGCATGTTTAGCAGTCCCAGCTATCACTGTAAGAGTATTGGAAAATGGGTTACTAATGACTCAGCTTTCCTAAAAATCAAGTTTATTTGCTAGCACAATCTTTGACAGTTATATTTCTATCAACTACAATTAAGTATAGTCGTTACGTAAGAACTCCAAATAGTTTTGGATTTATCAATACTGACTCCATAATAATGAATACACTAAACAGTGGAATTGTTTGAATCCGCTTTTGATTTGGTATTAACTCTAATAAACCATATACAAATCACTTGAAATAATATTAGTCTTGACGAAAAATTCTTCAAAACAGTGTGATCAATTTTAAAGCAAACAATAGAAATATTGAAATTTTTTTAAAGGCATAATATAATAAACGAGAAAAATTTTGAAAAGAAAATGACTAACTGTCTAAATGAATGACGAAAATGGTCTCAGTTTTGATTTTTTTTTTAGTAAAAAAACAATGAAACAGCCAACGATAAAAGGACATAAAACAACCGATTTTCTAGATATTTATCTAATCGAAATAAGTGAAGGAAAACAGCGCAAAACTATGAAGGCATAATAAAATTTTGGTTAACAAATAACATCACAGCCATATACTGAATGACACTTCATGAACTTAAAGAAAGAGTTTGTGATAACCTGTCATCAGAAAACATTAAAAAAATAACAGTAAACCGTATATAATATTTAGTTGGATGAAATCAGAGATTTCAACAATGAAGAGTAGTCATGAATTCGCAAAGTGTAAGGAATGTATACGCAAACATCTACGAATATTATGAACAACAGCTGCTACGAGTCTGTTTATCTTCAAGTTCAGTTAAGTGAGCACGACTTGAAGAATTAGTGTTTGCACGCTTTTTGCCTTGATTCCACAATTCAGAATGATTATAAATTCTAGTAACAACATCAGAAAATAGCTGATTAACACCTTCACTGGTTTTTGCACTTGTTTCAGCGTACGGCATATTGTATAAACGGGAAAAACGAAGACCCTCTTCACGAGAAATCTCTCTGGAAATCTAGGTTAAAAATAAATATAATGATAACTCTTTAACACCGAAGCATTCCAAGATCATGAAAATAGTTGTATTCAGGAGGTTTGCAGAAATTAAGGAGAAACGTCATGTGATATCACTGAAATATGGCTAAAAGTAGGGATTTAGGACTAGTGTTTCGACATCCAAGGTTGTCTGGACAAGGGAATCTGGCATTCTAGTGTTCACAACTGAGATATATAAGTGGTTTTAAAACTTGCGATTCTACACAAACCACATTATTTTATTTAAACACCCCGAGATTTCCTTATAGTAGCACAAGAGCAGCGGTCATATCAATTATTGTAGATATGCTAGATCTGACATGATAAAACCTTAATATCACAACTCATAAAATACCTAAGTAATAAACGTTTTAAGTATCCGCCAGTCAATTCTACATGAAGTGAAGCCTGACACGTATACAACGAATCATTTTTCTACAGCCCATAAACACAACGAGATAAGTTTTCCAGGGTAAATCACACAGTAGTAAAGGTAGTAACGGTATTAGCGACAACAGAAAATACTAGGCATTTAAGATGCGATGAAACAAAAAATAAATTAATGAACTAAAGAAAAGTTGTAGGGAACTTAGGATCCAAGGGAGTACAAAAAGTGAATTCACCTTCACCACTGAGAAAGATTTTGAGCCATGCCACCCAACATGGTATCAGCGCTTGAATTCATTGACTTCTAGTCTGAGCCATGTTGGTAGATGCAGAATACTTGGTTGGGGTCTGCACGATTATCGTAACCAATAGTTGAAGACTCTGGGCGGCATAGCTCAGAATCGATCACAATGGCGTAGGAGTAAACACTCTCTGTCTTCCATTAAACTATGAGATTAAAATTGCTTCATATCCTTCTTTCTTCCCGTGCTTATACACAATCTTTCTTTTATATATTACTACCGTTGAAGTGACTACTCCTATGCATTCGGTGTTCATCTTGTTGTGCTAATGAGGTCCAATACCCTGTAATTTCATGGACATAAGCCATGTGTTGGTTTGGCCGCCTATAACTTGCTTTCAATATACTTCTACACCAGACATTACTGTGCATCGAGGTAGTCGGTGGATAGGCATACGTAATATAAATCTTCACCATATCAGCCGATAAAGATTTAATACCGAGAAAAAGAAAGGTTAAAATTATTTCTTAAACTCTAACAGCTCATACATAGCTATGAGTACATACTTGAGTAATTGGAGGGGAATAATCTACTTTTCATGATTAAAAGTTGACACCGGTTTATTGGCAAACGATCTTTAACCTATTTGTCCAAGGTTTGAAATGTGCTCAATGAATACCTCTCTCTTTGGACAACATAGTAATATCACTAACCTTCACACAGTTAGTATGGATCAAAGCCGATTACAGTAAAATGTACTTGACTAAACCATAAATTAAGTGTATTTTCCAAAGATAAGCTGTATGTGATTGACTAACAGTGATCTGTATTAATTATTTGTTTTAGTTGTACATTAAAGATAACTTCTTATCAACTTTGAGAGAAAAAATACACATTTCGACAGGATACGTAAATGATACTGAGACAGGACAGTGTACAAGCTCAGTGATTACAAATATTAAACTCCGTTATTTGAAGTGCTGAATAAAAGGAACAGCTAATTGTTATTATTCAGTGTCTTTTGATTTCAGCACTATCTAGCCGATCTGATTGAAATAGTAGTTATTAGAAGTAAGGGCCCTAGACTATATTTGCCATAAAAAGAAAGCCGAGCCCCTATTATAGCAAAACGAAAGTGTATTGGCTAGGAAAGTGATGTCATTATGATTTTCCGGAAAACTATTTGATTTTAAAGTTATTAACAATAAGAAATTAATGTGAATTCTCTATTTAAAAATAAGACAGTGTAGATACAGAATGAGTGAAAAAAATCTCGTTTATACCTAACCACTTCTATCCATCAAAGGACAACCAGAAAGATGTTAAACATAAATATTTACCGAGTATATTTATTACAATTTAAGTCAACATTAATCAACTCTAATTCTATGAAATTTATCTCATCCTAGAGTAGATAAAATAGTCCATTGTTGATGTGTTCCACTGTTAGGCGATAAAGACTTTTAGTGCGTAGACATTAGAACTTTAGGTATAAAACTAGTAGATAGATACTTAAGTACTATACTAGTAAAAATTCATTCACAAGAATTTCATTTTTTATTTAAGCACATAAATATTGGTACAAAGGGGCACCAGATATATATGCGCTACAGAAATCTCATTTGATTTGTGTGAGGGTTATGATACTTCCCGGGTGCCCAAACCGAAGAAGGTGGTTTTCTTAGGGAACCACACCCCGAGCCTTTGACCTAAAGGTCTGATCTACAAGGCAGTGTAGCATCGTAAGGAGATGCAGTCACATGGTAGCTGGTGACCAATAATTGGTTCATATGCCACTTGTTCCCTCAGGATACTGGAGCCCATGTGCACCATTGGTTTGGAATCAGGGTTTTACAACTCCCCTAGGTGGACCCTCCGTGTCCACCAACCCGGTTATAGCGCCGGACATACGTTTTTCGTCCTCTCAATTTCGTAAACAACACCCTCGCCACGAGAAGGCAGTGAGTGGGACTTCCCTGGTAGAGGCTATAGGGAATTTCATAGATTAATTTAAAACAAATACTACCAATCAGAACAATATCAAACATTGTAATATATTTCCAAACTTTCTTTAAACTAATAACCTGATTTAAGATATCCAATTAATCATAAACACAACATAATTTTAATTATTTCAAAGTAAGGCCAATAAGAATGTAGGATATTTTTTGCACTTTTTTCCTTTCATTAACTGAATAGATAACTTAACAATAGA